AAGATACAATGTAATGTTAATCAGAATAATGAGATGGATCTAAAATTAAATACAAGCTGCACAATCTTCATTGTAGCAGACTGAACACAAACAAAATTGGTATACTTGCTTCAATGGAACAATGGAATATCACTTTTACTGGATTTGCTTTTTAATCAGCATCTCCTTCAAGATCTTGTTTCAAACTGACTACATTCAGTGTTTTTTGGATTAGAAGAAATGTCACATTTACTCAGAGTGACCAGTACTACTCACGCAACTGGTCATTCTCATTCCACCATAGGTGAGTTCATAACGTATAGGTATCACCTGAAAAACCATTGAAGGACACCTGCTATTGACATTCTTGTACTATGGGTGGTATGATAACAATATCTTTCTAGGCAGATCATTTTATATCTACTTGAGAACAACAAAGGAGCAAAGGCGGCAAGAGTGAAATCAACTTCATGGCTTTCTTGACCAGATGTTATGTGAAACCTGTACAAATACAGACTAAATTATAAATTTAGAATAAATACTATTGTATCGAAAGGAGATAGAAATGTATGGTATATTCATATACAACACATTTTACTCTCTTCCATCACTGCTAGAGATGCACCTTGCCCTTCAAAGTTGAGAACTAATCAGTGAATGGAAGCTGAGGAATGCTGCACACGTGCATATCTCTCTACCTTTGCTAATAAGCAAGATACATCTCTCAATCTTTGTGTTATTTCCTGAAAGTTCAGCATCCGTGTCTACCTGGATCACAATTATTGAAAACAGTTGACATCGCCTTATTAAGATTGTCTGGCTGTCTAGTGTATTAGCCTTTGGTGCTGGAAATATGAAGATGCCAGCATTTACTATCTGAGAAGGAGAAAGACAATTCTGAAATTTTTCAACTCTAGACGTAAAGTCGGGTTTCCATCAAGTGAAAATGGCTGAAGCAGATAAACCTAAGACTGCATTTAGTGATGACCAGGGTCTCTAGCAATACTGTGTGATGCTATTCGGGCTTAGCAATGCTTCAGCAACATTTGAGAGGCTGATGGAAAGAGTACTAGAAGGCCTACAATGGAGGATAGCACTAATGTACCTGGATGATTTAATTGTGTTTGCAACAACATTTGATGAGGAAATGTCCCGGCTAGAAGAATTATTCAAGCGTTTGAAAGCAGCAAACCTCAAACTCCATCTCAAGAAATGCCACTTGGGTCACATTTTAAGTGAGCATGGTGTGCGAACTGATCCTGACAAGGTGAAAGCAA